TCCAAAGGGAGGAAGATTATATAGAGTGACATGAAGGTTACCAAGCAAAGAAGTAACGAACAAATAACAAACTAACACGTCTCATCATATATCACAGTAATCAGACAACACAACAGTGTAATAAGAGCCACGTGGCTTATCGTGTCTTTTATAAAAAGATAGGCCAAGAACAAGTAGCCTCAGATCCACTCAACACCTCGTCTCTCCTTATTTTGTACGGTTCTCTAAATAAGACCAAAACCGACGCAAGGGCAAAATCGTAAATTACTTTTAATGGCCGCCGTTAGTAGTTCGTCGGAGACTGGAGGTGGTGGTGGTAGCGCCGCCGGTGGAAAGAGTGAGATCATGTTGTTCGGAGTCAGAGTCGTTGTTGATCCGATGAGAAAGTGTGTGAGTTTGAACAATCTCTCTGATTACGAAAAGTCTTCGCCGGAGGATGAGATCCCTACTATAGTCCTCACCGGAGACAGAGAAGACAAGAACGAAACTGATTCGCTTATCGCCGCCGGTTACGCCTCCGCCAATGAAGCCGTCCAGATTTCGTCTTCTTCCGGCGGAAATCGCGAGAGGAAACGAGGTATATATATGTACTCCTTTTTGATTCGTATGATCGATCTTGCCTCCAATTTGTGATTGAATCTGTTGCATGTTGGATTTTGATTCGTGATTAGGGAACTATGGATTTGTCTCTATGGCTGATTCTTGTGTTGTGTGTGTGTGGACAAAACAGGAGTTCCATGGACTGAGAACGAGCACAAGAGGTTCTTGCTTGGGTTGCAGAAAGTAGGGAAAGGAGATTGGAAAGGAATATCAAGAAACTTTGTCAAGAGCAGGACTCCTACTCAAGTTGCTAGTCACGCTCAGAAATACTTCCTCCGACGAACCAATCTCAACCGTCGCAGGCGAAGATCTAGCCTTTTCGACATCACGACCGAGACGGTAATTCGCTAATCTAAGATTAATATTTTTTAGGCTTGAATGTGAATGGAATGGTTTAGATTTTAGCTTTAGTGAATTAGCTTTAGATGGTAGATGATACTTTACTTACCTTGTTTGTGTTCTCTGCTTTCTGAAATTTTTTTCCTTTCTTTAGACTTTTAAGTTTTACTTTGATATTTGTTACCAAAAGGTTTCCTTTTTTTTTGTTTTATAAGAATTTGTTCTCTAGAGTCTACTATATTTGAGAAAGAAGTCTATTTGTTTTTGGTATTTCCTCTTTAGAACTTTAAGACAAAAGTTATATGGAGAAGTGATTTTGGTCAATTTGGGAATATACTTTTTTCAAGCTGTGCTAGAAAGTGGATAGGTTCAAGACTTGAGTTGTATAAGAGGATAAAATTCAAACAATAAGGCTAAGTGTTTGACAGTTAGGTCTGATTGGTTTTATCAGGTCACAGAAATGCCCATGGAGCAAGATCAGGTGCATCATGCTCAAGACAACACACCACTACCTGAAACTAACATGAATCATCAAGTTATGCAAGTTTTTACTCCAGTAACCGAGAATGCACCAGAACAGACATTTCATCCCAACGATTCATCCTCGAATCTTGTCCAGTTTGTCCCAGTAACCTTCCAAGCAAACCCGACATTCAATCTAAACACCGATGCTCAACTTTCTCTCAACCTGTCTCTGTCCTCCTCGTTTAATCTTAACGAGCAATCCAACTCAAGACATTCAGCTTTTGCGATGATGCCAAGCTTGAGCGATGGAGATAGCAATAGCAACAGCATCAGAGTTGCTTAGACCTAAAAGCCAAGGTGAAATCCACAAGACCTTGCTTCTTTCTTTCTGTTGTTTCTCT